CCCAGCTATATTTGGCATCGTTTGTATTTTATGTGCATTTCCCCTTAATAATTTCAGTAGTTGCTAATTGTCACTAAATAGCCATTGTTAACGCAATGGCAATGAAAAGACCAAGCAATTGTAAAGCTTGTCTTCAGGGCGCAGGTTCCCAGTAAATAGGAAGTTAACATATGGAGCCTTTGCTGAGATTAACCCTCACCTTCATTCAAGGCCACGTCTTTTTCTTGGCTGTAGGATCCACCTCTTATGTTCAGTGAGGAGTATCAGAAAGCTATGCTGAAAGAGTACCATTCCGTTTTTGACAAAAAGAGGAAAGAGTATGTGATTGGGGAGCTCATATGGAATTTTGCTGATTTCATGACGAACCAAGGTAAGCTTCTATTTATATTCTAAGCAACTCTCCATCCTCCCCTGCAAGTTTAAAATAGTTTATGATACACAAAGGATATTGTGCTGTAGGGTAGGGCAAAAAGGGCCCTCTGCTTACCAAGATAGAGCATAGCTGGTTTCTGTGACAAAGTCCAGCGTGACCAGAGCCAAGAGGGAAGGTCCTGCCTGTACTTCATGCATCCTCTCTCTCCAGCTTGAGCACCTAGTGTCCCACCAGCAAAGATGCTGCCCAGAACATGAGACTCTGTGTGAGCAGACCCAGATTACTTTATTTCTTGGCCATCCTCAATTCAAAGTTTCAGTCAGCTGTTAGTGATGTGTCTCACTTGCTTCACATTTCACATACAACTGCCCTTAGTAACAGAGCACCTTAAATAATGTATTATTAACTTGGTATAGAGGTTTAGCAATAGAGGACCAGATGCCACACTAGTAGACAACTGTCTATCATGACACTCCATCCACTATTAATAAGTGCATTTGCAAAGTATGGGGCATTACTTAATTTACAGTGCAGACAGTCATACAGAAATTGAACTATTACAACCCAGAAGGAGACCTAGTAAACAGCCAGTTATGCATATGCCACCTGCAGTGAGTTAGGGTGGTGAACAGTCAGTGTTAATTTCAGTCAGAAACACCGTTAAGAATAATCTGTAGAGCACCAAAATAGGTATTAGAAAGCTAAGTCATCAGAGAAGCAGTCAGCAAAGTGGTATTAGTTTCAGATAGGAGGATGGAGAAAATGTAGCAAGTTCACATACACATACGCAGTTCCAGTCTCTCTACATGTTGCCATCATCTTTTCTAGTTTCCTATGAAAACTAAAATAGGCAAAAAGGATATGGACGCCACTAAAGGACAGTACAGTCAAACAGTTAGTAATCAACATTTTCACCATCAAATTTAAAGGTGGAACTAATGGCAGAAGGAACATCTGCTGTAAATGTAATACTGATCAAGTTAATGGGCACACCTGAATTAACTGTCATCAACTTAGCAGTTGTAAATACAATGAATTGCAGGTATGTTGCTCAGTTGCATCAATTAATCTTGCCAAGATGACGCAAATTACACCTGCCAAGTTCCCTGTTGTACCTGACTGTGTGTAGAAGAAAGTGCACAGGTCTCTTCCACCTAACCCGATTTAGTACATACATTGTAACAGTTCACAGCAGGGGATACAAGAGCATTTTATATATACTTGCTTTACTTTATAACTTCTCTACAGGGACCACACGTGTTTTGGGGAACAAGAAAGGAATATTTACCCGCCAACGACAGCCCAAATCAGCTGCATTTGTTCTTAGAGAAAGATACTGGAAGATTGCAAATGAATCGAACTGTCTTCCTCCTATAATAAATCACATTCCTTCTTTCTAAAATGAAATCAAAAGGTATAGTGGTTGGGTACTATGCTGAACTTGTTCATTAAATTTGTTTAAATAATATTTATGTCTGACTCGAGTCCTGCAAGTCTAATGTAATTTCTAGTCCACTTGAAGTAGTTACTATGATACAAAGCAGATCAGAAACACTAGTTTCCTATGCTTAGCCACATCTGTAGGCTTTCTCTTTCCAGGTAGTAAAATGAATATTCAGAGTTTCAAGGAGCTGAAGATAGAGATCGTGACTGAGGTATCTGTTTATGGGAAAAAAAACCCTAAACAACCAACAAAAAACCCCACAAGCCCCCCCCCCCCCAAACAGATCAATGCTGATGACTTAAAATCCAAGTTACTCTAAATGAAAATCACATCCCTCCAATGTAAATGAGGTTTTCCAGTTATACTCCCCTAACAGTTACACTACTCAGATCACAGCAAATTGTCCACAGGATTACTGAAGAGCACAATTTATATAGCTTCTCTTGCTGGACAGAACGTACAAGGCTGGCTGAGAAATTCTGAGAGTTCACAGCATTCAGGAAGTGTATGAACCACCACTTCTGTGAGGATACCCAACATACTCCAATACAGTATGGAATTCATACTACAGCAGCAAGGTGGAATATGTTAGATAATGTAGTACCTACCTAACTCAACTTTGTTTAAAACTATTTATTTTAGGCAAGAGTGCCAGAACTGCCACTATTAGCTGTGGTTTCACCTTCCAGCATGGAAGAGCTTCCTTCATGTTAAATTGTCACTATGTACTACAGTGATAATAGTCTAAAGGGTAAATTTGATCTAAACCTTTTTGATACTGGCCTGAAGCATTCTGGGGTAGGGCGATGTGTAAATTAATGTGCACATGCTACTTTAGACAGTAATGTAGTGTAGTAATGTCCCTTTCAGGCTGCACGCCAGTCTTAGAGGACTCTAAAGACGAGGATTTAGACTGCAATAGATTATGCCAATACTCACAGAAAAGCTCCAAACACTTAGTCTGCAGCCTCCTTATTGTAACATCCCAGGGCTGTCCTGAGAGCAGCGTCACCCATAGCAGAGCCACTAAATTGGAGGCTGCCTACTGAATTTTGGAAGTTCGCACCATTATGTAGTTTCATTATTCCAATTCACAGATACTGTATGAAACTGTTGCTATGACTACTTTTTCTGCAGCTGGCTCTTCTGCTAGTACCTCAAGAAAGTGACCAAAACATCTGCCAATATAAAGAAAATATTTGCTCTTATGTTGTGTGGTGTCCAAATTCTCTTTCCTTTAGATGTGATACATTAGAACCAACAAAACCTTCCACACTGCCACATGCAGAATAAGGACATACACGTTTCCTGCCGACTTCAAAACAATTCTTCTTGAGTTTTTAAGGGAAAAGAAGAAACATACTATCAACATTCCTTATGATTATACCATGTTAGGTTTACAGATTTTCTATATAACTAAAAATGCAGAATATAAAAATCTATCCATAGTAAAAAGACACTTGGTCAAATGTACCATGGTATAACAGCAAGTACCATATTTAAGCTCACTACCAGTGTTTGAAAGTCATTTCAACTTCTCAATCTCTAGACATAGGGTTTTTTTTAAACCATTTTCTTACCCATTTCAACAGACATGACATACCAACAGCTGCCACATCAAAATACAGATAAAGATTTGACATTAACACATTACAAACTGGGGCTCAGATCCCTATGATAACACACAGGGCTTCAGATCCCTATGATCACACAGGGCTTGAGGTTGCAGAAGAGAAAGGCATTACTTTCATTCAGTCCAACAAAACAGATGCAAAGTTTAATATCCACACGTATGGTAAGCACACATTTCAGAGTCTTAGTTCCTGCTTGTTCTTAACAGCTCAGTGCAATTGTAAACCCAAGCCGCCTATCCAACCCTTCTCCAAAAGCTCCCTCCCTCCCCCAAATCCAGGAAAACATACAGCAATTTCCAGATACTTTGCGATCTTGTTGGAGTGGAGTTAAAGCAGACCCACAGAACCAAGGAAAGCAGAAAGTGATAAAAACAACATACTGAACAGGTTTTTTTGCATGTTGTTTAAAGAACTGTAAACAGTTAAAGCCTCAAGTCAACGCAGCTCAACCTTTACACACCCATGTGCACACAACATTCAGCAAGACACAATGAAGCCGCAGAAAGAAATTCTATAAACTGGTATCTCTGGGGACCCAAGTGCTTTAACCCTTCTATTGCTAACGCACAATGTCTTTGAAAAAAATCACAACTCGGTACATTTCTAGAAACAGAATTACAGTACTTTAAAACAGACTTTAAAAACAGTTTCTAAGGCTCAGACTGAGTCCAAAAAGGCCTCTGATTGGGTTCATTCAAGCTCTTATGTTTGGACTGCATGAGTGCAGCGTAAGAATAATTGCAGCAAGACGTTCACAGGTAATTTCTACATTTATTTTTTATACCAAAAAGTTATGTGCAACAAATAGAATTCATTCATATTTACATTGTTTTACCTGTTAGCAAAATTGTATCCTAAACCTCCAATAGAGAATCTCTCAACCTATTTTGATAAAAGGAACATCTGCCCAATGACTCCATTTAAATGGATGTTTAATTTGGAGTTTAAAGCACTAGTAATAAATAGTCGATGGAACATACTATACAGAACAAACACCTAATATTTAGGCCATGCTTAATACAGTTTTATGGTAACAGAATACTAAAATCTTTTCTGGACCAGTTTTGTCTAGATCACGTTTAAACAACATTGGCAGAACCAAAGCTATTGGATCTCTCTTTGACTTTAGCCCATATAAATTAGGAGCAGCGAGTGCTGCCTGAAGCACCTCACCAATCTTTTTGAACAATCGAGAGACTCTGTACAGCAGAAGACGAACGCGTACTACAGTATGCAGAAATCTCCTAATAAGAGAGATTTATTGTCACTTTAGATATCAAAGGTGGTAGGGAATGTTTCATTGGCCTTAGCATTGCAAACACTTTACAGTAAGAAACTTCCAAGAACATTAATTTCCTAAATGAGACTTGAATGCTTCGTCAGCCTTAAGAGTAGCAAGTACCTTACAGTAAGAGGATTTCAGGAATGTTTAATTCCTAAGCAGGTTCTGGGATGAGGTTCTTCTGCCTTTCCAATCCACCCCTCCCTGCAGAACTTCTGAGAGCCAGGGAGGGGGAGGAAGAGCCCAAATTCAGAAACACTGTTTGTATATTATTAATTTTTTTCCCTCTGTTCTCATGAGTGTTGAAACCACAACCAGAATCTGTGTAATGATACTGCCCCCTGCTCCCTCTGCCAGACCAGGTATTACTTACTAGCATTTATCCATACTCTTGTATCCTCAAGATTTCTCAGAATCTACCTTCGGATTTGTAAGGGCCAAATTAGTATCAACCACATATTTGCCACGACATTTGTTTTGGCTGGGGGCAGGCAGGGGGGCAGCTGCATGAAGCACTCATCAGATTTCCATCACATTACTAATTGTAACCTGAGCCATTTTACTGGAAGAAATATGCTGTTTCTATCATTGGGAGCAACGAGGAAAGAGTCAAAGAACTGGAAGCAAAAAGGTCCAAATTTCTACTGCTAATATTATTTTGCCCTTTATTCAGGCCAACTGCATTTCTGAAGCACAAGAGAGAAAGTAGAAGAGTTAGGGCCATTTCTAGCAAATCACTTCCAGTAAAAAGTAACTGCAAGAAAAGCACACAAGACAAGAGAGTTCACAATTAAGGATCAGATTTGCAAGTTCGTGCACAAAGTGTAGCTGCAAATTCTTCCAGAGACCAAACTCAATTTCCATTTGATCCCTATGTGCACACAAACAAGGACTGCAGACACGACTGCTGAAAATCTGGCCCTGAACAATTTTACTGAACAAACTGAATTAACAGACTATGCCCACACAGACAAGCACAAGACACAGTGAAATTAGCCAACACCTATACTTTCAGCTGATGGGGCTTTTTTCCTTTTTTTCGGTGTGCACTACACCCAGAAATTGGACCAAGTAATCATTGATTATACTTGTCTCCATTGCTGCTTGTTCTGAGATATTAGCACTGCGACTAACCATTTCAGGCAGCACGTGTTCACCTCTTCCTTGGATGAAAAAGATGCATTCCTGTGATCTACAGTAAAGGCATCAAAATAAATCTATACAACATATTAAACGGTGATATTGCCTCAAGGCTTGTAAGAGAGCAAAGTAAAGCCTTGAGGGACCAGTTTAAAATCATTCACTCCCCTCATATCAAAGTTCAAGGCATCTGAGAGACAGAACTAAACATCAAGACAAGCTTTAACTATACTCTGGTCAATACAAAATGCATTTAATGAATTGTTGTCTAAAACCATTAGACAAGAGGGACAAGTAATTTAGTGTTACATGCAACAGATGTTACTCATACCACAGAACTCTATACATAAAAGCAGTTTCCACCTACATCCTTGATACAAACCAGAAAATTACTTCAGTAGTAATTTAAATACTATTTTGTGATTCAATCTAAAAATTCTATTTTCTCTACAGAACACTGCATGTTTCACTGTCAAGTTTATCCTCAGCAACTTAGTGCTTATAATCCGCTTAGCCATACGTGTCTCTGACATTCATGTTTAAGAAAAAAGTCCTAAAATTAGTCAAACTAATTCTTTAAATAAATGGGTATGCAGTTGGAATTCTTCATATTTAGAAGCTGACAAGGGCAAAAAGCAGCACAGCACCAATTACAGAGAGTAGCTGAACCTATACATTTTGGTGTCACAGAGTTTGAAACACAAGTATTTTACTTTTCCGAATCGCACTGTCAACCTTCTGTCGCATTGATTTACATTAACTGAAACAATATTGCTACCACTTCTCAGTCTAAAAACCAAAATAGATCTCTTAATACTCTTCTATCCCCAGCAAGTTCACTGGGAATTTATTTTGTTTGTTCATTTTTAAAGCAAGGACACTTCTGCCTGCCAAGTTCAACACAAAGTATTTGGTTTAATTTAAGACAGAAGGCACTTTTAACGTTCAGCCTTAGAATACTGAGTGCAGAAACAACATTTACAATTTCGATCCTTTGTTTAAATCTGCAGTTTAATTTTTTTTTTCCAATTAGTTATTAGAAAGAGCAATGATAGCACTATATCACATTTCATTTTCAAGAGCACATTTACTTACTTATCCCACTAAGCAGGTTGCCCTTCCAAGGGCTCTTACGTGTGTCAGGCCTAAAGTTCATTTCCCAATATAGCATAAACCAAAGATCCTGACGAAGATCAATTAAGTAACTGCTTCTTCAGTGCACTACTTGATTATCCCACTCCATCAGTGGTTTCCACTGCAAATTGCAATTCTATACTGCAGCATTCATATAACATCAAACATTAGTAACACTGGTCATCTGACCGCAGTTTAAAAATGAAACAGCTCTGCATGGAAATTAAGTGCTTCCAAAGAACATACTTTGATACACCAACCCCCAATCTGCATATAATATCCCGGTGGCAGCTTTCTATTGACCACTTTAAGCTATTTTCATTCTGTACAGAAATTAATGAAGTTGTGGTTTAATGAACATACTTCCGGTTTCAGCTTTAATTCCATTTTTGTTACTGGAGACAAAAAAAAAAAAAAAAAAAAGGAACAAACCCCAACCATCATTCTTGTGAAAGCACTAGCAGTGAGTGCAGCAACACGGTGTTCTCTATAGAGCTCACTTCTTCCATTATGTCATTCGACTGTTAGCTGAACACTCTGACAGCTCCTAGGCTAACAAAACTGATTGTACAGTAAATTCTCCAGGGATGAAACCAGTATGTCTAATTTTATTTACAGTATAAGTCCTAGTCAAATCTAAGTCCATCAGCTAAAAAAAAAGTAATACACATACTGTAAACATGGCAACATTAAATATGGTAATGCTAGTCTAGAATATTTAATGTCATGATCACATCTTGTTATACCTGAATTTATATACAGGATCTTTTATAGCAAGCGGAGGGGGAAGAGAGAGAGTCTAGGTTTTGCTGTGGCTAAAACTCCTTCCAAGTAAAGTTAAAGCTTGTCTTTGATTGTATTAGAGCTTTCTTTCATAACCACATTTAAATTGAAGATTAGCACAAAAAAATTAGCTAGGGCCCCTTCAAATTTATAATTAAAAATTCAGTTATGATTCTCAGGGAAAGTGTCTGATATGGAGAATAAAAAATTACTGCAAAATAAACTTAATGGAAGTTGGGTCTTCAGACTGTCAGTCAAAAGTTCAAACAGGCATTATTCCTGTTTGGGTTGGAGTTGCCGTTTCCAGGCCTCGTTCAAATAAACTAGTCGTTTGTAGTTGATGATAAAGAGAATGAAGTTCAGCAAATATGTGATGACGCAGACAATGCAAAATTCCTTCAGCACGAAGTACAGAATGTATGCCAAGTACAATGACCCTACTACAGACACTATGGAGGATGTCATGAGGATTAGAGCTGCTACTGCACTTGCTGTCATACCTGCAACAAGAGAGAGAAAGTTACTACTGCTGCTCTCATTCCCCCTTCCACACAAAGCAAAAAACCTAAGCACTCCAATTCAAACTGAAGGCTACTCAGCAAGTTTGTATTACATAAAAGTCTGTTTAAAATACCATGAGTTCAAGATGGCTGACAAATCGCTATTTGGAGGGGAGCTTCTAGGTTCTGTACGACAGTCCTTTGATAAGAAGTATGTGTAGTATTTACCATCTTCCGTATTCCTGAGTTATGGGAAAGTTACAGGCTGGTCAGGTTATGTCTATCAGTATTAATAGCTTTATAGCAGACCGTGTAGTTGTGAAGAAATATGTATACATTACATTTCATGCACTTTTTTGCCTGCTATCTCTATTACTCCTGCAAAACTTGTATATTCCATTTTTATTTCCTCTCTTTATCGTGCAATCCAATGCTAAATATATTTAAGTGAAAATACCAGTACAGCAACTGTCTTGACACTTATATTATTAATAGCATAGCAGGAAAAAATGCAGTTGCTCTTGTTATCAGTTGGGTTTTTAAGCCCTTTGGACAGATGTATCATTAGACTGGTGCTAAAAAACGAGATAAAAAAAATCACATGCATTTATCTGGTCTCTTGCAGATTGTGCAATGTATAATGCACTCCTCTCATCACCACATACCTGTTACATACTTTAGGCTCTAAAATGAATTAATACTTACCGAGTAGCATTTGTAGTATATAAAACACGAGTCCAAAAACACTGTTTGACTGATTTATTGCACTGTCCTTTCCAAAGATGGAACCCAACAGACCGAATCCTCGACCCCATCTGTAAAACAGTGAAACTAATTAACTTGCTTTTGGGCACCAACTGCTTTACATCAGTATTTTCAATTCATCACTGCTGGGGGGGGCGGGGGGGAAGATACATATATTCTGACATGACCACTGCAGTCCTATATGAAGTTCAGGGTTACCTTCGAAAACCAAGCAGCTTGCAACAGGGGGGTACACTAGGTACAACTTTATCCCACACATTGCTGATTAAAGTTATTTGACACACCAGAAACTACCAAGTTCACACAGTTGCAACTTCACCAAATACCACGTCTGCTTCCTAGGGTTGTAGTTTAAAGCTCTTTTGTCAAATAAATACTTTCTTCCTCCAATGATAGCTTGAGCAGTTCTTTCCACCACAGTAAGTGGCACACACGTTCACTGTACAGCTGAGGGAAAATGGTACAACTTGGTAACTAGTTGTTACCAGCTCTACCTGCACTTACCTCACTTGGTCTGGTGAGCAAGCAAATCAGAACATATGTTTGCACTTCAGCTGCTCCTGATCAGTCTAACACCTTAGGAGGAACCCAAATCTGTCAAGCAGACAAGCTGGGGATGGTACCATAACAAGATTCACAGACCTCATTTGTTAGAAGCCCTCGCACAGTGTGACATTTTGAACTAGCACCTTAACCACAAAGTGACTTTCAACTTTTAGTGATAGGGTAGAAAAGGGCACAAGTCCTACAAAACTGCTGCTGCAGTAAGGGCAATAAAAGATTAAATTAACAAATATATTTGTGCTAGAAATCATTAATTTGATGCCCTAAGGCAGATCATGCCATTATTTGTAAAAGCAAAGCAAGGACCACATTTATTAGTGTCACTTGAAAATATGAAAATAAATTAACACTACTTCAACATGCAACTTAATTCACTTACAAGAGAACGTTAGGATATCTGCCAGCATCTGTTTGGAGCATCAAGTCAAGCACTACATAAATGCAAGGCTAGGTTCACATTATCAGATTAACTGTCACATAACTATGCAAAAAAAAAAAAAAGTGCAATTCCTCACTGCTGCTGCAGCAGAAAACACTAGCGTGCTACATTTTTGCTAACAGAAGTGCAGTCTCCGAATAGATTGTTGCACTAGAGGCAACGGTTCTACTAAACCAAGCATGGGTTTGCTCTCTGCACACTGCAGGAACATTGCTCATATACTTCACCATACATCTGAGACCAGTGAAAGGCTACCACCACATTACAAGCAGTGTCCTCATACGAGAAAGGTACCACAATAAGTACAACTTAATACCATACTTCCTAATCTCACAGCCATTTGTGCGATATTTTTGAAACATATTCAAATTAATCACTTTAATTCAAACTTAGTAACTGTCTGCAATTAACTATTATACTCAAGTCTTGTCCTCTTCTCCCCAAGAAACTGAGCAGAGAATTAGGTGCCAATTCCTAGAAAGCATGCTTACTGCATAAACAGTAAAACACCCAAACATACTTCCAACTAGTTTGGTCTCAAATCTTGTAAATGACTGAAGTGAAATTTATGTGCAAATGTAAAGCTTCAAGCCAGCACAGAAAAGACCAACTTGCTTTACCACAGGAACAAGGCCTCACATCCCAGAGCTGTGAGGGGTTAGAAAGACACAAATTTAACTGCTTGGGAGAGCAGTGCAATACTGCCTCACTCCCTCTGGTTATCCCAGTGCAAGTTTGGGGCTATGCAAACCGTGGGGGACAAGACTGGTTACACATCCTCCCTGTATGAAGGCCAACAGTCCCAATTAGCATATGGTATAGTTTGTGGGTGAAGCTGTATCAAGGATGGATGGCAAAGATTAGGAAATGCAGCTGTGGAGATGCGAGTGCAGCACTTCACAGCTAAGAGAGCCAGGCTTCCAAGAGGGAGAGATTTAAGACCAAACACCATGCAACAATACATAAGCAAACATTATAAAGAAATACTGCAAGTTCCAAAGAATCTCAGCTATGAGATTCCTCCCACACATTCAATGTTATCTGGATTTTAAGTGAGAACTGTTTATTTTTTAGCCTTACTTTGATAAGATGGTCACAGCACATGTAACAATTGTCTCATGTTGTGCAGCTACCAAATGCAGTATTAAAGAGCCAGACAAATATGTTAAAGGTATCATCATTTTGCATTTAACAGTCTGTTTATATTTTTCTGTATTACCACATTTATAGATGCTTCAGCTTACTATCCACAGGTGCAATCTATTGTTCTAGTCTCCAAGTGAGACTTGTTTGTAGGGTGACATTAAATTCTATTTGAACGCACTCAGGCTTTCCTTACCGATAGACTAAACAGCGTAACTCAAAGCGTGCCTAAGTCTGTGGTTCAACATTAGCCTAGCTCAAAATAACTGCAGGATGCTGAATTCCTACCCTCTCCCTGCCCTAGCTGTACGCTCTCACTTCTTCTGATGCTCATGAGATCCTGTCATGTTTGAGAGCAAACTCAAGCTTAAAACACCAGAAACTTTATAGACTACAGAATCTGACCCTACAGCTAACTCTGCAAGTGAAGAAAATGCTGCTAATGGAAAGATAATGAGTTCAAGCCCTTCCTGACAGTCATTGTCCCCAGGTGATCTGTTCATAGCTGCAAAAAGGTCAGAGCATGGTGAAAGCTTTTTCTACATGCAACAGTTCATTAAGTATCTTGTTGGCCTTGTAGCAGCTTTAAGGACATCAAGCATTAAATTTCAGTCCATGGAGTACAGCTCTGATCTTGCATCTTATTCCACACACTTCAGGGCAGCTAAGAAGCCTGTGGTTTAAGACGAAGCGCTTTTACCAGCCTTATAAGGTTTGAAGTGTGAGGAAGTTTTCTGCATCAAACTGAAAAGCAAAATATTTAGACTTTGTATACTTCTATTTCCATCTAATTTCTCTACTGAAGAGGCTAAATCATCTGCTGATACTATCAAGGAGGTCCCAAAACCCACTAAAATGCACAATGAACCAAGTACTTTTGCAAGCAATTGGAGGAAGGAAGAGGACCAAGTATGATCATCTTCCTTCTCACACCAAAATCACGATAACTTTCAAAGTCTAAAAACATATGGCAAACAAATAGCAAGAAGAAAGACTGCAGTCCTAATAGAATAAACTCCAAGAAATAAATCATCAGTAAAAAGGACTATAAACTGCTCAGAAGTTCTTCATAGAACTTGCCTTTCTTATAAAGAATATAATTTACAAGAACTATTGTTAACTCAGATCAATTTTTGGGATACACAATGCTAAGTAAAATGAACGGCACTAAGTAAAAGAGTTGCTTGCACAGCAAGATAAAAGCATAGTCCAACATCACCAACTTTTTCCTGGTACTGACTTGTGGCTCCCCATTCCTGAAGCAGTCAAGTGCTCTGTTGTGAAAATCATGCTGAAGTCACCCTGCATGATTCAGAGCACTATGACAAACACATGTGGCAAGCCTATTTTTGCCACACCCGAGTTTCACTCCTATTAAAACAACAACCAGAAAAAAGGAAATCTGAACTAACTTCAGGGAAGTTTTAAAGTAAATTTTTAACATCTTCCTGTATGTTTCAATTAACTCAAATTCCCTCTCTGTTCAAGATGACAGCCTACTTCACTTCTCATTTGCATTCTCAACTTTGAATGTTCTTTAAAAAAAGTTTTCAGAATAGTGATTCAAGAAATCCAAGACAAAGCATTTAGAACTGTTCATGTAGTTTCCTAACATCTCAAATTGAATACTACAGTGACTTTTAGTCAAAGGTGTATTTCCTTTTATGAAAAGGAGGTCTTGAAAATTATTATCCACCCTCTAAACAGTGTCCCTTTTGGTTTGTGATATTTAACAAAGCTCAGAAGTGTTGGATTTTCGGAAGTTTAAAGCAGTATTTGCACGCACTTGACACTTCTTAACAGGAAGACAAGAACAACTGAGGTCATTTTGATCCACAAGTGTCAGATCTCCAATAAAATCATTACCTCTTTTGCACAATTATGAACATCCTCTTCGTTCCAGAGCAGCATATTATGAGAGTACACTTTAACTCTAAACATTTTACTGTAATTCAGCAGAGACAATACAACTGGCAGAAAGGCAACCAGGAGAACCTCATGCAGTACACTAGTATCTCAGTCATCATAAAGGACAAGTAAGCAACCTCCATGTTTAACAAGTTAAAAAGCTGTAAGAGTTATCAGTATTAGCTCAAAAAGCAACTGAATTCCAAGCCTGCCAAACACAACAGTCAAACAAAAAAACCAGTACATATTTAGCCAGGAGTCAGATTATTATCTCATCCTCCCTCTGTAAGAAATGCTATACTGTTTTTTCTAGCCAAGCACTCCAATTCTGACAGTTACCTGCAGGAGATGTTTTTAAGGGCTTTTACAAAGAGATCATTCCCCAAGATGCTCTCCTTGACCTCAATCATCATTACATTAAGAATCGGCGTAACAGACTTCTGAACCGGGGTTTCACCTGCATCAACATGCTTAGTAGCCTACCTTGAAGCCCTCCTGAAAGTACCGAGAGACAGTTTCTGAACACATACTTTTGACCTCCACAACATCCCCCAGTAATGAATTCCGGAATCACATCACCTAATTTTCACTTGTCAATCCTTATTTCTCATGTCAAGAAAAGAACTAACTACTCTATATTCATTTTAACATGAAAACAACCATGCTAGATCAGGTCAAGTCCAGCTAGCTTCAGCACCATGTCTGTGACATCAGGGAGTAGCAGATGCCTTGAACAAAGCACACGTCCCAGTTCACATTCTAGTCTCCTAAACATCTAGTTGAAAGTGCTATCAAATCCTTCAGGAGACCAGATTATTAAATGGCATGTATGATTCAAAGTCTAAGAACACTCCATATTTGTGCAGCAGCAGGTTTTCCAACACGTTTCTCTCTCTCTCTCAATTTTTAGGTTCGCTGCAATGAAAAGGGCAAACAACAGTAATAAAAGATTATATTTTCAGAGAGCTGTAAGTAAAGAACCCAAGTTCTGTTTTCTGAGTAGTAGTAGCTTGCTTAAAGCCCCTCATTTCAGGATTATTTTTCATCCCATAAGCACTGTTTCATTATCAACAGCAAGCATCATTTACCACTTTGTAACCCTGAGGAAGCAATACATATATTCTAAAAAAGCCTACACTTGACAAGTGATATGCACATTTCCTTAAGTGTCATCTGACTTCTGAGATAAGTTACACTACAGAATGAAAGTTCTCGGGAGGGGAGCAAAGCTGGCCTATGCTCACACATTGCCTTCAGTGAAAAGCTCATATAAAGGTCAAAGGATCTGGAGCATGTTAATACTTAGCAATGTTAAGAAACTTTGGTTGCAGCTTCTTTACAGCTTCACTAGAGGATTTTGGATTAAACCTAGCTCATGGTTACAAGGTCGCTTAGGCCACTCTAACAGTTTCAATAAATTAAGTAAAAGCCTTAAATTAGAAGCCATAAGAAAGAAAGAAATGAGATTAGAAATTCCCATTTGTAGGCTTGCCAAGAGTGCTTAAAATTTTTGATTCACTTAATTTCATGTTTAAATCTATTAGCAGTATTTACCACAAACAAATGAGATTTTGTTCTACATATCCTCCAGCTCTACCTCAGAAAGAGTCCAAAAATATCTCAGTGTCTAGATCAGCAAAATCTCAAGCAGAAGACAGTGGTTAATTATTTTATAGCAGTCTTTACAGAAGCACTGGTTATTCAAGCTACAAGCCAACAGCATTGTATTCCTTCTACATAACCTCTTCTATTAAGCTATCATAAATGAAGTCTGAATTTGAACTACAGGCACTTTGTAAAATTTACTTTGCATCAGGCAAAATAATTTTCAGCCCTACTGCAAATTCTAGTCAAGCTAGGAATTATATATTTACGAAAAGCAAAAACACACGTTTGAGATCAGATCACTGTAAGCAGGAAAAAAACCTTCATGTAGCTAGGGTACTGCTGTATTTTATAAAAGATCTGCCTCAGCCACTATATAGTGTATCAGTCTGAAGTATTAAGTCATCAATTTTCCATTAAAAAGATTAGACAAAAATCACTTGAACTATCAGCTTCTACTGCTTTGGGAACAACCTGCTTTAGAACTAACGAAGCTGGTTTTCTACAAATGTTCCTGAAACCCCTTCCTTCCCTAGCATGCAGAATAACTAGATCCCTCCCAGCTTACACCCTCCAGCCTCTGCAGCCTGCCTCCCCAATCAAGTTCATTACCTATCAGCTCTGTCTGAGTCCAATTGCCTGTCTGCCTAGCAGACCAAATGGGACAGATAACCTTAGCCCACACAGCAGGCTTTTTTCCCCTTCAGCACAGGTATTACTCCGAGTCCCTCTCCCCTCCTCTTTATAAAATTTTATAGAAACTTTAGTAACTTGTATCCTTTGTTAAATTTTGCCATATAAAAATGAAAAATTATAAAATAATTAATACACAACACAGGCAAAATCTTCTCAGAAACAAGGCTAAAAAAGCAGGATAATACAACCTTTCTTGGCCTCAAGTTGTTTGCGCTTTTTTGGCTCAATATCCTTACCTGTAAAACTCGTATCACACTCATCTAGCTACAGCTATAGCAATCCACCATTGTCATGAACCTGCACCAGTCCAAATCATGAAAAATGCTTGACACACTAGATGAGTTCTGTCTACACTGATTTCCCCCTGCCCAATCAACAAACTAGAGATCTTCAAACCTTCCCTCAGAGAGCAAAAACAATGAATCCTTGCTACAGAATAACTTGAAAAGCACCATTACACCTGCTATCTAACAATTTGCAGAACTCAGAAATAAACAACAACCAATTTTAAATCACAGGATAGATTTTTACCTCAGCCTCAGGAGACCACATTTTTATGTAAACTGCTTCGGTAGCCTAAGAACCAGAAATCTGATTCCTGTTGAATGACCACCAGCTGCTCCACATACTGCCCTTCAGCAGTTTAATCAAAGTTCTATCTTTTTCTGCACAGAATCAAAGATGCCTAACAAAAACAGTAACTTGGCTCAGGTTAGAGAAATTACTGACTAGCAAAGACTTACAAAACTAGTAAAATTTAAAAAAAAAGCACATGAGCATCTTTTGCCTATGCTGGTTCACAAGAATGGACTAAACAAGCTTCCCCTTTTATACTACCTGCATAAAGCTAACTTCACCATTTCTCACCTTACATCAGTCACTAACAATTGCAGCTGTCAACCTCAAACATATCTGAATGCTTGTTTACAGCAATAAAAAAAATGCTGGGACATCAGGAACTTACCATTAATATGAAAGATAACTGCTATATAATGTTCTTAACCTGGAATCAAGCAAACTTGACAGACATCAAGTTTACAGGAACTGCCCCACAACAGAACTGAATGGGAACCTGCAATATAAACATCAGGTTAGGGAGGAGGTCAGAGAAGTTTTCTTCCATGTCCCATTTCCTTAGATAATGGGGTTGTTCTTGTCAACTTGATCTCTGTTACGGTCTGCACTCTATAAAGATGCACTGGAACAATAGTTCTGGCAAGGTGTGCTTCACTGAAAAACCAGCACTGGCCAAAGTTTTAACTGCAATATCTTATAGCATAACTGCACACCCGCTCTGCAGAGGAATAGGCTCTACACCAGCATAATTATA